GTTGGTTGATGGGTTATTTCTGGTCAGATGATCAGAAGGTTCATGGGATTTCACTGGGGACCATCTACTCCAGGCCTCTCCTCTTGTAGCGGAAATGGAGGCCAGGAAGGAGAAGGGACTTTACAGGGACTGGAGGGAAGAGTTTATCTGCTCTGTGTAATTGGATGTCGGCAAAGCAAACCGGCTGCTCCGGTTGGCAAGCAGCTCCCATGTGCCGTTGGTATGGAATATTAATGACAGTCACAACAATAACAGAATTTCCACATCATTTTAAGGTTTGTGAGGTGTTTTGCACGTTGTATCTCACTTAATCCTCACTTAAAGTAGGTAGGGACCTTCAAGGGAATCTAAGCCAAAGCCTTAATTCCAAAGAGAAGGAAACTGCAGCCCAGAGCAGGCCTGGATTCCCCCTCAGTTTGTACATGCAGCGAAGAGCCAAGGTAGAATCTGACCGCAGGGCCTCTTCCTCCAAATCCGGCCACAGAACAAAGTCAGCCCTCTGTCCAACACTGTCAATCTGGAAGTGGCAGATTAAAGGCCCTAGGACTAGCCCAGGCAAGGGCTATGTCGGAGACACGTTTTCTTGGTTTGGAATCTTAATGACTTACACCTGGAAGGGGGTGGGATGGGGGGGGGAACATTTGCTTTGATCTTCAGAGCTCCCAGGGGAGGCTCTTCATGTGAAAGATTGTTCAGGCCTATTTTTGTGGATTAAGGGAACTTGATTTGGAGCAGACCTTCCCGTTCAGCCATTCATTCTATATTCATCAGACATTTAACACGCACTGTTCCGTGCCCAGCATTGTGCTCAACACAAAGCTTCGATCATAAGATTTAGAACTGGAAAGAACCTTAGCAGTCACCTCTTCCAGCCTCTTCAATCTGTAGATGGGAAACAATGACTGAGAAGGGTTTTCTTACAGGCTGAAAGTCTCAGAGACGGCAGACAGGCCACACGTTAATTCACAGCCTAGTGACTCATAAGACACAAACACCGCTGCTGATGACATAGGATATTATGTGATGAATAGGGCTCTTTGAGGCTCTTGGGAAGGTCCTCACAATCCAGGGAGCCTCCCTTCTCTTCCTAGAAAAGGGGACATGATACCTGTGTTTAAGTGTGAGGGTAGGGATCATTGATTAACCCACCCCATCTAAAAGAAATTACCTTTGTTAGCTAAGAACCATATTTGGATGGAATCCATCAACCAGAACTAGGAATGAACAAGGCCTGGCCACCACCTGAATCAAATGGAAATATTTCAGTTGGGTGCGGTGAGAAGTCTGTTTCAATTGAGTGAGGGATTGGGTCACACTCTGAGGAACACATATTAAATGAGGAGCTGTCTCAGAACCAGAGAGAGATTTTGAGGGCCCAGCAAGGAAAGAATTAGAGACATCATGAGCTGAGCTAACAGGAACTGACAGCCCAGGGACAGACAAAAGGAGAAAGAGAAAACAGGACCAAGCTGTGGCAGGAAAGGAAGGGCCTGAGGAGGGCCCTCAGTCCTCGGGCTGGCTTGGAAAAGGAGCCTGAGGAAAGCTCCAAGAAACGTCTGCCTTTCCCCAAAGTCCACCTGGTAGGACCTCTCCATGAACACACACTGTAATGGACTCAGCCTGCTTCTTCACCTAAATGTGTCCAGGAACCCGAGCTGTGCCTCAGCCACAAAGAGCCTGGAGGCAGCTACTGATAAATATGAACATGAATTAAGACAAAGAGCCCTACATGTTGGGAGCATGGTGACTATACCTCTCACTGTTTGATAATCAAACTTCCTCAAGCAGCAGCAGAGTGAAGCATGGGTCAGAGGGGCCGACCAGTGCCCCAAGGCTTAGGACGAGCTCCTTATTGGAAGAGGTTACACAAGAATTTGAAGAGCCAGCTTCAGGATTAGATGATTCCCATTTGGCCCGGGAGTGGACAGCACTTCTCACCAGAGATCTTCAAGGGAAGGGAAGAGAAACACAGGAATAAAATATTCCAGAGAAGCCATGGACAGGGAAAGTCAACAAAACAAATCTATCTCTTTGAGGCAAGAGAAGAGCTGTTGGGGGCGCTTTGAAGCCATATCTTCCAGCCTGTTCCTGAATGGAATCCCCCCAGTAGTTATCCGGATGGTGCTGGAAGACCCCCAAGGAGATCATCCCAGCTTGAGCCAGCTCTGACAGCTGGGAAGCCTCTCCCCACATCAGGCCTCTTGGTAACTCCTTCCCGCCAGGCTTTGCCTCCCCTCTTCCCTTACCCTCCTCCATGGCTCCTAGTCCTCTCTTCTGGGCTCAAATAGGACAAGCCTCATTCTTCTGCCATATGACAGATGCCAAAGTGCCTGAAGACCACTGTCCTGTCCCTCTTGGTCTTCTCTCCTTGAGGCCAAACCTCTGCATTTCCTTCAGCTGGTCCTTCTGTCACATGCAAGCAAGGCTGGCACCCGAGACGGCTGCCAGGCTTCGGACACTCCCTAGTTTCACAGTGTCCTTTCTAAACTCCGAACCCAAGTAGAAGTGCCCATGGAAGTCTACAGGAAGGATGTGAGAGCCTGCCTTGACTGTCCTCCTTGTTCTTGCTCTTGGAAGGAAATTACTTTGCTTCATTTATATATCGGTATATGTGTCCTTCTCCCCATAGAGTGTAAGCTCCCTGAGGGCAGGGACTGTTTAGTGTTTTGTCTTTGTAACCCTAGAGCCTAGGACCACAGGACCTCTAGATGCTTAATGTTTGTTGAACTGAATTGAGAGTTCAAGGAAAGGGAATCCCACCTGAGCGGAGGGATCATAGGCGCACACACACACAGAGCTGGAAGGGACTGACAAAGCCATCGGGTGGAACCCTCTCATTGCACAGATGATGAACCTGAGTCTGGGTTAGTGACATGGCCAGGATCACACAGGCAGGAAGCACAGAGGTGGGGTTTGAATCCAAGATCGTTAAGTCCAAACTTCCTGCCATACCATACAAATATAAGCACCTACTTTGCACAGAGCCCTATGCTGGGGAAAGAGGGGAGATTTGGCTGAGACACGATGCTGCCCTCACAGGCCTCCCAGCTGAAGGCAGTTAAGCCACACACTGTGACAAGTAGACTCAGAATACTGCTGTATAAGGACACTAGAAAGAAGACAAAGTGAAGCCTGTAGGGGAGGGTCATTAGGGAGGGCTTCCTGAAGGAGACGGCATTTGAGCCGGGCCTTGACAAGTAGGGGCAGAGTGAAAATGAGAAGGCATTGGAGACAGGGTGGAGATCTGAAGGGCAGGCAGCATTAAGAGGACCCATGGAGAAGACAGTGAAGCCACCCTGCTTAAAGGATCAGACAGCTCATCTAGGGAAGCTGTAAGGGAGAAGGCTGGAGAGCAAAGTCATCCAGTCATTCTACAGATGGGGACACTGAGGCTGGAAGGGCAGAGCAGCTTTGAGACCAGGCCTGAGATCCTTAAGCCACTGAGCCTTCTTCAGTGGAGGCGGAACAGGCTGGCCTTTGAGATCACACGACTGAGGAGGAGCTTCCTGTCCAGTGTTCACAGGCTTCTCTTCACAATGGCTCTGGGACCTGAGTGAGCCAGCACCATCACCACCATTTGTGGAGGAGGGCAGTGCAGTCTTGAGAGCTAGGGGCTCACTCAGGCTCCCAGGGAGCACACAGCAGAGCCAAGATTCAAATCCTGCTCTTCTGTGGCCTTCTGTCTACTCCAACATGATGGGCCGGGGCTTGGGGGCAGGGTGTCACTGGCTGGAGAAATCTAGTCCTAAAAGGTTTCTCCTAAGGGTTGGGTTCTTTTCCTTCTCCATGTTCCTGGCCATGCCCTTTTCTAGAACTCCCACCAAAATGGAGGGTGAAGGGGGAAACACCCAACTCACCACGCTATTTTAGCCCGTCCTCATCTGTTTGGATGTATGTAGAAATTGGAGCGAGTGGCTAGTTATTTTAAGGCCCGCCATGCTTTCTGTGGGCTTCTCAACACTGTCACAGATTCCCAGGTAGAGGCAGATTTCTCTGGCCACTGGCAGCTGCCTGACAGATAAACATGCTTGGAGCTTCCTGCAACAAAACAGAACAAAAGAGAAAAAACTAAAAATAACTCCCACTGGCATCCTCAGCACTCTGCTCTACAGAGGATCAAAGAGGAGAAAGCCATCTATTTAGTACTAGAATGTCTTTGATGTGCCTGGACAATGTACACACCTAATTAGCCATCCAGAGGAGAAGAGGAGGTGGGAAAAGGAGATGAGGGTCTCTTGGGGGGGGGTGAGTAGCTCTCTCCCCCATAGGCCACCATCGGGAGGCTGGGCCATCCCTGGCCTACAGCCTGGGCCCAATGGGTGCCCACATTGGCCGCTGTCTTTGTGGCAAGCCCTGGGAAATTTCAGTATCACAGCCCAGAATGGGTTCAGTGACCTCAGCTATGCCCTTCCCCAGCTCCTTCCAGCTCCTTTCAACTTGCAGAAAAGCTTAAAGTGGACAAAACCCAGACGCCTTTTGCTTGTAGCTCAGTGAGAAAAGATCAGGCCTGTAGACTCTTGTCAAAGTGATGCATGGAGCTCATTTCCCATTAACTCTTTTGTGGCTTCTAGTATTTTCCCTCCCGACCTCTCCTTGTTAGAAATCCAAAGCCACTGTTTCTGCTCCTGTGCACTGTTCCTGGACTCTAAAGGAGTTTTGGGGGAAGGCTATCTTGGCTCCGAACCTGCGCTGTAACAAGGAAAGGGTTTAGAAATTTGCCCTTTGGAGCAGATGCCCCCTCGGCTAAACTAGCAAGGACACTCATCTGTGTGGCCAGTTGGGTTTGCTGTCACTGACGAAGCAGGTCAGCTGCTTTGGGACCTAGGCCTGATGTCCTTAAGCCAAGCCTGGATGACCAGCCAGTTTTCAGGGATGCAACAGGGAGGATTCCCAGTGGGCCAGAGGCTCTCGGAGACCCCTTCTCAGGCTAAGATTCTACGATTCTGAAACAAGCAGGTTGGCATCGGTGCCTGAACATTCTCTTCGCTCTGCCTCCACAGAAACATGTGCTGTCAACAATGGAGGTTGTGACCGCACCTGCAAGGACACAGCCACAGGAGTCCGCTGCAGCTGCCCGGTGGGGTTTACCCTGCAGCCAGATGGGAAGACGTGCAAAGGTAAGTCACAGTCACTCAGGAATGGCCTTGGGATCCAGTTTGGTTCTCTCATCTTCCAACCACAGAAGTGGGGGGACAGGAGACATTTAATAATTCCAGGTGGAGAAACATGAATTTAGGTGTCTGGCAGTCTGTGCTGTATTTCAATTGGAAATATAAATAAGGTTATTGAATCATAATAGTGAAAGAGGTAAGGAAGCAGAGTGGTCAGTCAGTCAGCACTGCGTGCCAGGCAGTGGAAATACAAACAGAAGCATAAATGCAGTCTTGCCCTCAAGAAATTGCACTCTAATGGGAAAGACAACACTTAGAAGGGGAGCTGAAGGGCTGGGGGTGGAATGGGGGAGGGGAGGGGAAGGGGATGGTATTTGGTGCATGGCAGAGAAAGCTCTAGACGTGGAAATGCATCCGCATCAGCAGCACAGCCCGAAGAGGAATGGAGATATCGCGGGCCTGGGCCTCCTCCTTAAATTGGAGGTTCTGGGAGGAGCCAGCCAATCGGAGGGTGAGGCCTCAGGGGGACGGAGGGTACTTTCAATGTGAGAAGTAGGTCAGGGGTGGAGTGAGCTTCCAGGATGAAGAGATTTTGATGGCCTGGTACCTGAGACAAAGTCCCCAGAAGAAGAGTCAGTAGTGCAACCTAGAGAGGGCTGAAGACAGGTCTATGGTCTATGACGGGTTTGGTTGGTGAAGTAAGAAAGGAAGATGGTTCAAGAATCAGTCTGAGTGGAGAAATGAAGGAATGGGATGGTCTGGTATCCATGGAGCTGGAAAATGAGTGGGGAGGATGGTTCTTGCCACCTTCCAACTGCAGAAATAAGGACATCAGGTGGTTGGGTTTTCATCGCTGTGGAGGTGGGCTGTGCACCATTTCACTGGTGGAAAAAAGGAACGGGAGAGTCTCTGTTACTGTTACAGTTGGAGCAATGTGAGAATGGAATCCATCAACCAACCAGCATTTATTAGGTACTGACCACGAGCCAGGCACGATGGGATACAAAGGACCTACTCATAAAACAAGCCCTGCCCCCCAGGAGCTTCTGTTCTCCTCACCCATCACTCCCTGCTGCTGGGGCTCAGCCTGTGCCGCCTCCTACGGGGCGGCAATGCCCCCTTCCCTGTCCTCATTTCCTTCTTCTAGAAAGCAAAGGCGTGATAGTCCCTCAGCTCCCTCCTGGCCCTCAACATCCTTCTCTTCTCTTGCCCTCTGCCCACAAGCAGCACAGGGCAGACAGAGGCCTGCTCTAATGGAAAGAGAGCCGGGCATGGAACTGGAAGAGCCGAGTTCAAATGTGGATGCTGGCATTTACCAGCTACGTGATGATGGCCCAGTCTGAGCCTCAGTTTCTCCTATGCCAAAAGGAATGGTCAGATTGCATCGCCTAAAAGGGAGTTACAAAGGACAACATAAACACAAGTTATTATTATGCAACAATGACAGTCACATTTCTAAGTAGCTCCCAGTATGGAACCAAGTAATCTTTTTAACAGTTTTATCCGTCTCTTGTTTTTCGTCACCTCCAGTTCCTAGAGAGATCATGGGATTACAGACCAAAGAGGGAGCAGAGATCTTGAGAGGCCATCTAGTGTAACCTCTCACATTTGACAAATGAGGAAACTGAGGTTCAGAAAGGGTCAGCGATTTGCCCAGGCATGGCAGCTCAGAAGTGCTTCAGAGGGAGAGAGGAGAGTGGACTAGAGAAGAACAGGGAGAAGAAGGGAGGCCTTAGAACACAGACCATCTGAATGGGGAAGCACTCTGACCGCAGAATTTTGATCTAGATGAGACCTGAGGACATAGAACGGTAGAGGGCCGGCACCTTTGTTGTTGCTCAGTCCTTTTGCAGACTTGTCTCACTCTCTGTGACCCCACTGGGGTTTTCTTGGCAGATACTGGAGAGGTTTGCCATTTTCTTCTCCAGCTCATTTTACAGATGAGGAAACTGAGGCAGACAGTGACTTGCCCAGGGTCACACAGCTAGTCCGTGTCTGAGGCTGGATTTGAACACAGGTCTTCCTGACTCTAGGCTTGCCATTCTATCCATTGTACCTAGCTGCCTTAAGGTAGGGACCTTAGAGATAACCTAATTTGGTTTCTAGACTTCCAGCCTGCATATCTGCAGCCATTGACAGGATATGTTTGTCAGGGTGCAAATCTTTGATGGCCTGACTTCACAAACTCATTTCTCCTCCTCCTCTCTCTCTGTCTCTGTCTCTCCTCTGTCTCTGTCTCTGTCTTTCTCCTATTTTCCTCCTCCCCACCTTCCTGTTCCTGTCCCCCCTTTACTCCTGCGTTGAGACTGAAGAAGGCAGAGCATTCCTCACTAGAGAATTTAAATATTTGACTTGTCTTTGGTAGAGTTTCAGTTATTAAACACTCAGAACACAACTCTCTCAATTCTTCCAAATCATAATGCTGTTCTTGAGGATCTAACTGCTCTCCCACCCCCATAATGTTTTGCCTAACATCTTATTTTCACAGAACCTACTAATAACATTAAGCAAGTAGGCACCTGTAGAAGGACTTCTGGTTACAAACCCTTTCACATCCATCATCTTATTTGATCCTTACTCAGAGTAACCCGATGAAGTAGGTAGTACAATTATTATTGTCTCCACTTTACAGATGAGGAAGCCGAGGCTTCGTTTTGCTAACTTGCCCAAGACCATTCAGTGATGGGACTCATCAATCAGTCAGCAAACCTTTATTGAGCACTTACTATGGGCCAGGCACTGTGTGCTAAGCACTTGGGATACAGACAAAGGGAAAAAACCATGGTCCTTGCCCTCTGAGAGCTCACATTCCAAAGGAAGAGACAGCATACGTACGGCTGTGTACACAGCTACTACAGGCAGCATAAATGCATGGGGATCTCAGATCACAAATGTGTGGGCAGCAGAAGGAAGACAGTAAGACTGTGAGCTTGGGTGACTGGGAGGGTGGTGATGCCCTGCACAGGAATACTACAGCTGGGAAGAGGAGAGGGTTTGGGGAGAAAGATGATGAGTTTTGTTTTGGACCTGTTGAGTCTAGATGTCTGTGGGATATTATCCAACGGACTGTTAATAACGCAAGACTGGAGGACAGGAGAGAGGTTAGGGCTAGACAAACAGAGCTGAGACCCATCTGCATATAGATGACTTTGAAGACTTTGAACTGAAGACCAGGAACTCAGGATAGCCCATGGCTCTTTCCCCAGTGCTGTGAGACGTATCCAAGGTCATACAGAGAGTGAATGAGATGGAAATTTGAAGATAATAAAGCCACTGCCAAGTGTAAAAGGCTCCTTGGATTCAGAGTAGTAATCACTAAAGCACTGGAAGGTCTAGTCTTCTGAATTCAAATCCAGAGATATTTCCGAATCTCAAAGGAACAGTCATTAAAACCTCTCATTATGAAAGTTCTACTCTTAGAGAGGACAGCTAGGTCGAACAGTGAAGAGGCCTGGAGTCAGGAAGACCTGAGTTCAAATTCAGCCTCAGACTGACTAGCTGTGTGAACCTGGGCAAGTCACTTAGCCCTGTTTGCCTCAGTTTCCTCATCTGTAAAATGAGCTGGAGAAGGAAATGGCAAACCACTCCAGTATCTGCCAAGAAAATCCTAAATAGGGTCACAAAGGCTTGGACACAACTGAAACTACTGAATAACTCTTAGAGAATGCAATCAGTGTTACAGAACAAGGAGCAAGCGAGGTAAGGCTGGGGAGTGTTTCTGAAGGGGAGAGATGACAGGTGTTTTGCAATGCTAAGGATGAAAAACTGAGTGCAAAGTATGTGAGCCAAACTGCTGGGGATTTGTTTTACCCATATCATTTGAGGGGAGCCAGAGGGAACTTTAGTGCACCCCAAACAGGATTTGCCCTAAGCACTCCACCTTTATTGTTAAATGGGAATCTTGCTGCACGAGCCTTTAATCCTGGAGTCTTTCTGTTCTTTGGGCAGAGTTTTTGATGTCCAAGGAGTGTTGTTTTCTGCTTAATTGGCTCTCTTGAGAATGATGAAAAGGTTAGAAATTCAGCCTTCCTTAACTAATTCCAAATGTTTGATTCAACCCCTGGTTTGGAGCAGTGCCATTGACGAGAAGAGAAGAATCACGGCAGTGTGCTGGAAATCACGCTGGGCAGCCAGGAGCCCTGGGCTCCAGCTGAAACCCAGATTCTAGCTGCGTGACCTCGAGAAACCCCTTCCCTTTCTGGGTCTCACTTTCTGCCTCTATAGAACCAGGGGAGTGGCCTAGTTTCTCTGAGGTCTCTTCTACCTCTATCATTCTATATTCCACATCCAAAGTCTTTACCTGGCTCCAACATTCTTTGTCTTAAGCTTCCTTCTAGCTACCACACTGTTCTTTAAATCCTAAGATTCTAGGATGTATTCTAATTCTCATATTTTAGATTCTAAGATTCTTCCCTGTTTTGACATTCTATGTTCCAAGGACCCTCAGCAGCTTCCTTCAAGGCTCAGTGCACACACTTCATCTGAGGGAAAGGACGCTTGTCCTGCTCCCCCTCATTTTCAGGCTCTCCCCTTCCTCCTCAAATTAGCACATAGATGTAGATATGCACACCCACATGTGGATGCCTCTCTGATTACAGATTTGTGCCTCCTTGAAGCCCCAGCAGAAGTCTTGATGGGAAGGGACCTTTCTTGGCTCTGCATCCTCATCACCTAGCCCAGCGCTTTGCCCAAGAGAGGCACTTACACTCTTAGACTGGATCCAACTAGCTGGCAAGTTCTGCCAATTCTACCTCCCTGACATCCACACCCTCTAGACCAGGCATTCTTCACATCAATTCAGATCACTACAGTAGCCTCCAAACCCTCCAATCTGGACCATGCAGAGTGGCTGAAGTGATGCTCCCAAATGATGCACATGTCTAACCAGGTCACTCGCCTGCTCAAGAAGCTTCAGTCCCTCTTGCCTCTAGGGTCAAATACAAAGCCCTCTGTTTGGCATTCTGAGCCCTTGAAGGCGGTGCTCGCCTCTTACAAGTCAGTTCACC